GATGGTATTTAAAATGCTGTCTATACAGTCTGTTTCTCTCCTGATGGAAAGACATTAGCATCTGGTAGTACTGATAACTCTATCCGTCTTTGGGATGTCAAAACAGGATAATAAACAGCCTTATTTGATGGTCATAGTGATTATATCAATTCAGTCTGTTTCTCTCCTGATGGAAATACATTAGCTTTTGGTAGTTATGATTAGTCTATCCGTCTATGGGATGTCAAAACAGGATAATAAAAAGCCTAATTGATTGGTCATAGTAATGGAATCCTATCAGTATGTTTCTCTCCTGATGGAAATACATTAGCATCTGGTGGTTGGGATAACTCGATCCGTCTTTGGGATGTCAAAACATAATAAAAAGCCAAATTAGATGGTCATAATTATTATGTTAGATCAGCCGACTTTTCTTCTAATGGAAATACATTAGCTTCTTGTAGTGATGATAAGTCTATCCTTTGTGATGTCAAGAGTGGAAAAAAAATTTTACCCACTGAAAAAAATTATAAAGATATTCTAACTTAATCTAAAGCACCACTATCTTAAAAAAATCCTCTATCATGTATTTATTTAATTATTACTTTTTAGTATCCAACAATATCACAATTTTACGAATATCTCAAACACTATTATTTTAAGCATAAGAAGCTTTGATCTTGAAAGGGGATTTTATAAATTATTAGGGATACGATCTAAGATCATTATTAAAATCAAAAGGTAGTTGCTTCTTAGAAGACTTTAAGTAAAAGTGAAAATTATTATTCATTAACAATATTACCATTATTAATACATTCAATTTCTAGTGTTTTTTAATTTTTGCTCTTCATTTTCATATCTAAAAATAGATAAATACCAAAGTTTTATTCCATTTCAATTTTATATACATCTCATTTATTTTAATATAAATAAAATATATGGTCAGTTTATTGTAGGAAGTATGTATTGGGATGTTATAAACATTATTCTAAATTTTTTTATTATATNATGAAATTTTAATGAGGAATTTAAAGGTTTCCAATTGTTATTCTATATAAAATACATTCTTTTCTTTTTCATATTTAAATTTGGAGCAAGTTAAATTTGATATAACTTTAAATTAAATAGACTTTACTTCAACTGAAAAAGGTTTCGATGAATACTTAACGTTATTAGAATTACCAACAATATAAGAGATTGATGCAATTCGAAGTAATAATCCCATTATGATGGTAAAATATGGCAACATTAAGATTGTGAATTGTAATTTCTATTCAATACACATATAGAGTCTAATTAAAATAGAATAAGCCAGCAATGTTTTTTTAGAGAATATTTGCATAATAAATTCGTATTTTTAAGATGCATCTTTGATAAAAATTACCCTTAAAAATTGTAATTTTAAATTAATAATATCTAGCTCTAAGTGGAGAAATATAACTTCGGAATTTAACCTTATCAAATATAACAGAATTCTAGAGCTATCATAATTATTCTGAGAAATCTTGCTTTTTAAAAGATTAGGAACTTCCTTAACAATTACAATGCAAGCTTAATACAACTCCTATTGTTAAATTGAATTTAATTGAACTTGATACTTCTTGGCAACAATTATAACATGAATGTAATTTAAAGAAGATTTATGAAAAAAAAAATTATAATTTTAGCTTAATTGAAATTGAAGGAATAAATGAGAATCATAAAATAATAGGTTAATCTTTTAACTTAGATTCTATTAATTGTACTAAATGTTTACATGGACTGATTAGTATTCTAAATATTAATTAGATTAAATAAGAAAATATTCTTTTTTAAAGTATAAATATTTTCAATAGTGTTTGTGGATACACAGGCTGTTTATCAATAATAAGTTAATGGAATGAAAATATTTTGAAGCCTGAAATGATTTTTACTAATCCAAATGAAAGGTAATTACAATAGCATGATTATACCAAATTAGCATTATAATTAAATCATCAAGTTAAGATAATTGATAGTTTATTTATAAACAATAGTGCAATCTATGGTGGATCTCTGTTCATTGTTGAAGCATATGTTGTGATTTAAAATTCTAGATTTTAACATAATTCTGCTATTGTCGGAGGTGCTATATACTATTATTCTAATAGTGCAAATTTATTTATATTTGATAGTTTTATCATCGAAAATATTGCTCAAGTGGCTGGAGGACTATTTCTTAATTAATAATCTATTCAATAAACAATTTAATTGGATGTAATTGTATTAAATAATACATCTACTAAATTTTCTTAAGATATTTTTGAAAGTCCTCGTTCATTAACTATTTCGATTGATGCTGGTAAGACTCTCTTGAAAAAGAAAGAAATATTAAAAAATTCAACTAAAGTCATAGAATAAATTGAAATAAATCCATATAAAATTTTAGGATAGTCTCAAAAAGTAAATTTTCTAACATTTCCATCAGGAATTTCTATTTCCTCCTATTAATACTTTGATTTAGAAAATTCTAAATTGATTCCTTATAATTTAACATTTCGGATTATTCCTTTGAATAAATTTAATCAACAAATGAAGAAATTAACAGATTCCTTTTGTATGATTTCTCATTATGTCATAAATTAGGCTAATAATACTATTTTAACATAATTTCCAGGTACATTATCTTAAACTAGAGTACAATTTAATTAAGACACTTAAGATTTTAATTTAGATAATTTAATTATCAATTTTCATCCTTTAATTGATGAAAATGTTGTTTTAAGACTTAAAATAAATTGCAATATTATTAAAATTCCCTAATTTGATACCTAACCACCATATTAAATTACTAGTTTTATAACTGATTATGACTTAATTGTTGACATAAAAACATTTAAATGCTAAATAGGAGAATATTTAAATTCAACCTCTGGTAGTTGTATATATTGTGATCCATTACTTTAATAATATTCTGTATAAATTAATGCTTAAAATTGCAAATATAAAGATGATTTAAAGATGAAATCTATTAAAAGCTCTATGATTGAACTAAAATAAGAATATTGGAGAGCATATTATTATAGTGATAAAATTGAACATTGCTATCATAATGTAAATAATTGTAAGGGAGGGTGGTAACCTGGAGATTAATCTTGTTCTGAAGGTCACATTGGTGCATTATGTGAATAATGTGATTTATACAACATAAGAGGTGATGGACCTTATTCAGTTAGCTCTCCTTACAGATGCGGAAATTGTAATTAAATTGCTGATAATGCATTAACAATTACTTTAATTAGTATCTGGACCCTTATCTCTACTTTATTGTCGGTATTGGGTAATATTAGAAGCATTGAAGAAGTAATTTTAGGGATTCGACTAAAATCTTTCAAGATTAATTCTTAAAACACATAAGTAACATCAGCAATCTTAATCAAACTCTTTACTAATTATTTTTAAATAATATCTTCTATTGCAACATTTTAACTTTAAATTCCTACTGGACTGACATCAGTAATTAATAGTGTTGGAAATCCAGTTGATTCTATGGCTTATTCATTTGATTGTTTTTTGAATAATTTATCAGATATTTTAATAATATATTTCAGAATTATTTGGAGTTTAGTTATTGGCAAGGCTTGATTAATATAGATTTTTATTTATTTCAACTGCCCTATTATATTTTTATTATTCATAGAATAAACCATCTTTTCTAAATTCTTTCATGTTGTTTGCCTTTGATGCTTCTCTATGACACAGTTTTTCCAGCTATTTTTTTATAAATTCAAATTTAATAAATGTTGTTTAAACAACCTCCTATAAGATCAACTTTTGATTATATCTATATCAATACAAATAAAGAACCTATTTATTGAGAGATTGATAAATTCTTTAGCAAGAGTTAAGCATTATTATATTAACATATTATTATGATTATATACTTATAATGGCATTACTTGTATTTTTAAGTTTAATCACCTACATATTTTGAACTAGCTTGGTTTAAACCTATTTAATAAAAAAATGAATTAATTTAATAAGTTGCCAGCCATTATTTGAACTTGTTTCTATTATTTTAGCAAGGTATACATTTTTAGCTCAAAATTTTTTTTTTATTTTGAAATAATTTAGCTGTGTTATTTCAAAATATATTAAATAGCCAGAATCAAAGAATGATTTGCAAAAATCAAAGATTATATAATTACTTAGGCTCTACATATTATTAAATATAATATGATTGATATAGATAAAGTTAAGAATTTATTAAATCCTGTAAGGCTAGAATTTAGGAGTGGCCTTTTAAGAAAGCATTTAAATTAATTATTAACTTAATAAATGTAGCCTGAGATCATTCCATGATTTATTATTCTAATCACTACTACTATTTCTTGGAATTCTATAAGGATTTTAAAATCATCTTGAATTAGACCTTACCAAGGGTGCTACTCAGTTTTATTTTCAAATAACCAAAAGGTTAGATTATACTCTGCCTGAATAGATATCTAAACCTTATCCTATCATTGAGAGTAAATGATATTTAGAAGTTTGAAGATACATGAAGTAAACTATTTTCAATTTTTGAATTTATAGGAAAAAGTTCTTTTTGAAAATTATAATGAAGGGGTGATTAGGACTAATATATTTTGTAGATGTTTAGATTTATTACTATAATTCATATGTAATTTATCTATCTTTTAGTTTTAAAACATTATAAGAAAGAGGAGATTTTATGATACCATTATTTCTATAAACAACACTATTCATTTTTTTCAAGTAATAGTAAGTATTAAAAATTTAATGAATTAAATTTGGAGAACTTGTTGAGTCTCTAATTATTAATCTAATAAGCTTAGATTGGATAAAGAACTAAGACTTTTAATAACTAATATTTAATGCTGATTACGATTTGATAATTTATGGGATTATAAATAAGGAAACTGCTATTCTATTCATAAATAATCAATCAACTCATCCAATCTTCTTTTCGGAATTTTAATTTTTTTTAAGTTGATAAATTAATCTAAAATTAGAAACAATATCTAACAAAATAAAATTGAAAATAGTTTTTAGATGAAATTACTGATCTATATTTAAGTATGGAAGCAATTTATTAATTGAATCTCATCTTCAAGAATTGTTAAATATTATCCATACTAATAATATTCCAAAAATAGATAGATATAAATTTGTTTTATTCTATATAGTTAATAAAAAGTTTTGGTGTCGTCAAATTGGAACACTAAATTCCTATTGAAAAAAAAATAATAATTATTTTGGTAGTAACTAATTCAATATTATTAAAAAGAGTACTTATTTAGTGATCAAAAGGATGTAATTTGATGCTCAAAACTTTTGATGTATTTTCTACTTAATTTAGTTTGAATTAATTATAATTAGATTATTATACTCATTTTATTGGTCTATTGTAGAAAAGAATAATAAATGAATAAACTTGAAGATGTATTCAATTAAATTTCATGTCATAGGCTCTACCTGTGCTAAAGTTCATTTAAAAGTTCAATTCATGAAATAAGAGAGATTTTTTACACTAATTATAATAAATTAAATGCATTGAATAAAATATTTTTCATCAAACCGTAAGTGAGAGAATAAATCAATTGCATTGCGTTTCCATCTATGCATAATTAAAGAATTGATATATTTCATATTATAAAAAGTGAAATATGGTTTGTTAATTTGATAGAAGAGTCTGCTCATCTCAGAAATCATTAGCCCTTTTTCAAAAATTTAGATTTCACTCAAAATCAAGATATATTGAGCTTGTTTTTCTCGGAATATGCTATTCAAAGCAAAAAGATTTACTTTAATATATTTCCAATAAGAATATACATCTTATACTTGATAAATTATTGTTTCTCTATAACAAATTATTTTCATAAATAGCAAATATTTCAGATCTTAGATCTTCCAAAATCTCCATATAATTTATTTGTTGAGGACCCTTGAGGCTTGTAAGGCTATATTAATTCTATTTAGTCAAATGTGAACCTTTTTCAATATAAGATGCTAATGTAAATTATATTTATGACACGAAATTTTGAAAGGCGTACTTACAATAGTATCCTGCAAGGTTATTTATGATTAAATTAACACGCTTTTAAATTTCACAAGAATAATTACTATTAATTCATTGAATTTACAAAGAATTATTTTAGTAATATGCTAGAGGAAGAAAATTCATCAAGTGGATCCATTATTACATTAATACTTTATAAATTGTTGTAAAATATATATTTAATATTAATAATCAAAAGAGAAATTCATTAGAATTAAACAATTATCATAGATTAATAAAGATATTTTATTATAAACTTAATAAAATGAGAATAATATTTTAATAGAAAAAGGGAATTATTAAATATCTTATTTTAATTAATTATATTAATGTCATCTGATCTAGATAAGAAATTGTGTTAAAAGCATAAATTAGAAATATAAACAATAGATTTAAAATAATCAACTGCTGATGAGGAAAAATACCTTTGTATTAAGTGCCTAATGGAAAAAATTGATATTTAAAACATGGCTTTGGTTGAAGAGACAAAGACAATGATTAAGTAAATGAAAAGTGAGCAACTGAATAACAAAATCAAAGAATATTAAAGTAGGATTGAAAGTTTTAGATAAATATAATCATAAGTTAAAGAATTTAAATTATTGATCAACAACACTATTGACAAAGTTTAAAGTAACATAGATTAGAAAATCACTCTAATGGAGAATGAACTAGATGAATCAGAATCAAAAACTTTTGTTTCTTCTTTTGAAGAAGATGTCAAAATATTATCAAAGAATTACAAAGGATCATTTAGCTTTGAAGTTCCTAAAGAATTGGAGAAGTTTCTAGATGACAATTCTTATATCGATTCTATTTAACAATAGTTATAAACTATAATTAATTGCCCAAAATTAACATAAATTAAAGAAGCCTTAGAAAAGACCAAAGTGGAAAGTGGAAATTCAGAAATAAAATAATTCTAATTACTTTCTAAAAAGGAGGAGGATCCATTAGTAATTATTTTTTAACTATTACAAATAGAAAACACCAAGTTTGAAAATTTAATGTAATAAACATGGAAAAGAAATTATTATGTTTAATTTGAATTCTGAAAAAACTCAGTTTTCTAGATTGGCTTGTGTTGAGTGTATATAATCAAATGATCCAATCAAATATACAACCTTAGGAGATGCTAGTTTTAGATGGAATGAATATTTAGGATAAACTAGTGATTAGGTTAAACGATTTTAAAATTAAAGATGTTTGAAATCATCATAAACCATTGAAATACTTCAAGA